TCCATTTATTCCATGTGAATGGCAGCACTTTATCAATCTTCACTAAGCTAAACATCTAAGCAGACCCAGAGCTGGATAAAATAATTTGAATGGGTAGCCCCAAGATAGATTGGGAAGTCAAAAAAATAACTCCATGCCAAACCCCTTCCGTCCTAATGCCAGAAAATTATTTGGACATTTCCACAAAGACACCAGAAAGTGAGCTTTACAGACCAAGACTTCACCTTATCTCTTTTAAAGTAGGTTTTTAGATTTTAGCACAAAAATGAACAAGTTAATTAATTGTTTAATACATTTGTAAAACCATGTATAGCCCCCATGGAGTTTGCTAGCTACAAAATTGCCTAGTACCTCACCCTAATCTTCAAAACAGCTATCATTACATACTTCAAAAAGCTCCATTACCAACTTATAAAATATTGGATTATCTCCATGGTGTGTCTTGTTCAATGAAATAGTTTTGTTTCATTGAATATTAATATGCAGGCTACTTTTCAGAACCCAGAAGTCTGTAACATTTGATGGCAATTTTTTAAATAGAGGACCACAATGAATGGGATGTTAACATCAAATGGGACGTACCATATCACATTCTTATGTAAGATCATTTTTTCGCCCTAGGTGAGTGGATTGGGAGCTGTATTGTTTTGTTGCTTGTTACTATATGTCTAATTTAGAATTTCTGATATCTTTTTTGTCATTCTGCACATTGTATTTGGTACAATACCATGCAATCATACAAATGGTCATACAAATCTCCAAGACTTCATACAGCCCTGGAGCTTTTGGCTGCTTCTCCTTGCTTGAAACATTTTCCATTGCCCTTGAGATAACTTGAAAGATCCTTGCTTTGTTGACTGTGTAAAATTAGATTTTAACATAGAAGCAAAATATCCAGGCTTATTTCAGTGAAAATCAAGGAAGGCGACTTCCCCTTAATGAGTTGTTTTGTTTCCAGAAATACTTCTGCATACTACTTAATGTTAGAGAATCTTTGCTTTCCATTTTCAAAAGAGTAAATCTATTCCCATTTATCCACTAAAGCATACCTTAAATTCCATTAACTCATGCGTGTTTGATGGGGTGGAAAGGGCTCTTTCTGCTATCCTCTCAAACTCATCACACAGTCTGAAATTAGAAAGGCAAACATGTCACGCACTCACATCTCACATGCATATGCAACAAACATAAAGAGTACAGACCTCAATATCTGCAGGATCATAGCACCTTGAAATTGAAGACCTGTTACTATTGGTAAGCAGACTGCCAGAGTAGTATTGGTTCATGTGCTGGACTACAAATGGGAAGACTCAGGTTTAAGTCCTCCCTTCGCCACAAAAACTCATTGGAGATTTGGGGCAGTGAATCTTGTTCAGACCAATCTGAACTACAGTTTGTGCTTGTGGAGAAAACAAAAATCAGAGGAGAGAGTACAAAATATACCATCCTGAATTTCTAATCGATCAAATAAAGTGACAAAAAGAACCAGTCTACACTCCCCACTTCCTGGCCTCTATTATTGAAATAAAAATGCAGGCCATAGCCTTGTGGAAAGCCGCAAGGAAACAGAGTTGCCTCAATGAAAAGAAAAATAAGTAGGTATCCTATTGCTAACCTGAGCAAATGTAAACAGATCAGAAATTACACCAAGGAGAGAAGAGAATTCATTCCCTCCATGCCTACACAACAGGTTCTAGCAATTATAACTGAGCTATTTGAATGAAATACATAAAGATATAATACATAATAAGATAAAGATACCATAATTCTCGTGGCAAAAATAGAACATGTTTAGAAACAATCTTGCAAGCATGTAACCATTTCCCCATGTGCATGTGTATCTGGACACCATTCTGGACCCACAATACAACTATTTCAGAACAGATAGGATGTAATTCAAGAAACTGGAATGCATATTCCCATCTGCAGGCATCAGTTGTTGAGAACAATTTGCTGCCTGCAACCACAACTGGAGCTACACTTATTTGCATCCTTCCAAATAAGAGCTACACTTATTTGCATCCTTCCAAATAAGACATTTACCTTGTGTTTAGATCTTGATGATCCTTGAACATTTTGCCAATTATTTTGGAACAAATTGAATCAGCTCGTTTTGCCAGCGATCTGATCAGTTCATCGCAATGTAACTCAAACATTCCTAGACGAATACACTAGAACACAAGCATTGATGAGAAAAGAATTGCCAGCAAAAAAATCAAAAATAAATTCTCTAAATATTACAAAAATCCCAAGGGACATCAAGTTTTTATTCTGTTTTGTTCCTGATGCCAGGTCATCAGCAGCAGCGTATTATTAAAAATAGATGGCTGACTTCCTTATTCACAGCAGTTGTGAGATACTCTAATCACAGAAGAAATAAGAGCTGTGAAGAGTTTCAGTTGCATCCGTTATAATGAACTGAAAGAGATGGAGGACTTCGATAATGGCCCACATAATACTTTGAATAAAAAGATTAAAACTCAGATCATGCATTATACAGTGCAAAGTAGAAATGGCTCTTATTTGCTTGTCCTGGAATTTGCTCCTTCCAGTGTGCATTACTAGGTCAACAATTCGCAAAGGAGACTGCCCAGGCCCTGATCTTAGATGTCAAGGCCCCCATCGGAGCCTGGTTCAGAGGAGAACCATCCAACAGGGATGGCATTTCTCCCTTGGCATGTATGGAGAGGCCAGGGGCTGCCCCAGGCCCCTCAGGCACTGGGGAAGGTGGTTTCTCTTGCCTTAGGCATGAAGGCAACCTGGATGACTTTGGGCCTCTCTCAATCTCACAGGATTCTTGTTATGGGGAAAATAGGAAGAGGAAGGAGTATTAAGTATGTTGATTTGCTTCGAGTTATTTATAAAAAATTATGAAGTGGAGATTTTGAAAAATCTAAAAAAAATTCTAAACTAGAAAAGTGTATCTCATGGCCCTCTGTACAATTATATCTTTTACATTAAATAAAGTGAGGAGATCTGTTCCATCCCATGAATATAATTTTGGTAGAAATTCTAACTGACTGTTAGGAACATATGACAGTGGTTTCCCCCATCTACAGTTCTATGCAGGGCTTTGTCACTGTGGAGTCCACATCTTCCCCCCCCCCAGCTGAAAAAAATGGAGGATAAGCAATTCCTTTTGAGTAATTAGCCTGCCAACCAACGGTTACAACACAATACCCAATATTCACTCCCTGGAATAAAAGCAGATAAGCACATCTTAGACAGAACATTTATAACACCCCTGGCAAAGTTAGCTTCTCGGTGATAAGAAACCTGTATTCCATACTACTGACTTAAATGCCAGTGATTATGATTACACATAAGATCCGGCGCAAAGGACACTGGTTAGAGAGTATACTTTATCAAACATACAGGGATGAATACGTTGGCTGAGCTCATACATAGGACAAAAACATAATGTGGTTTGTTCATTCTTGGTTTAATAATACATGACCCTTCTATAAGATCAAATGAGATCAGTTTTTTTTTTAACCAGTCCCGATGAAAAAAAAAATACCTAAGCATTATGTCTAAATATAGTTCTAGTGCAGTGATGGCGAACCTTTTAGAGACCGAGTGCCCAAACTGCAACCCAAAATCTACTTATGCATCGTCGGGTGCTGGGTGGGTGTGGCCCATTGGGTGGGTGTGGCTCCTTGGGTAGTTCAAACAATCAATTCCAACTTTGCAAGAATCTTTTTTTTTCCCACGAGAAGTTGAAATTGACTGATTGATTGAACCTTTTTTTTTTTTGCACACGGCGGTGGAGGCCTAAAGCAAAAAGGTTTTATAAAACCCAGCTGAAGGCCTAGGACTGGGGCGACGGCACGTGTGCCCACAGAGAAGGCTCTGAGTGCCGCCTCTGGCACCCGTGCCATAGATTCCCCACCACTGTTCTAGTGGATTGAATGTCAGTGGTAAGGCTGAAGGCTGAAGGCTGATGGGTACAACAGATCATAAAATTACCATACCTGTTGTATATATACAGCATCAGAAGACATAAAATAAAAAGGTATTTGCCATTCAGTGAATACGCTACCTTTCTGGAATGGTACTGAATGTCTTCACGGATGCTTTGATATCTGGCGACTTCGGCTGTTATTTCTTCAAATGTGTGCTCCTCGGAGAGGAACTGATCAATATCCCGCTCTGCTTGTTTGGTTATCAAATCGTGGTATTTATCATACAATTTGAGATGTTCCGTCGGTGCCACACTCTCCTTGGCGATCTCATTCCTAATTTTCTGCTTATGTGCGTCCAGAATTTCATCGAGGATGATAGGCTTCAAATTCATGGATTTGGCTTTGCTTTCGGGCTTTCAAAATAATAGAATTTCTTTTATACTACTAATTCAATTAATCAGTAAAGACTTAATATTAGATTAGCCATGCAATCCTACATTGAACATCGTGCAGCTGAGCAACTTTTTCAGCTTTTCTCCAACTTGGTATTCTTTAGATGCGTTGGATTACAACTCTGACCATCCCTGCCAACCTGATAAAGAACGATGGGAATCCTATTTGGCACTTTCACGGGGCAAAAGATTGGGGAAAGCTGGGCTACAGGATTCAAGTGGAAATTCCAATATACTAGCTGAAAATTCAGTCGGCCAAGCCCTTGCTCAGCAACTAAGTATGACATGACTGAAAAGGACCTGTCTGAGAAGGGCTGATGCTCTCTTCACAGTACCTGGTATCTACTCTATTCATACCAATGTTCCCCACTGTTGGCAACCTTTTGCATCTGTCCAAATTTATTACTTCCCTGTCATTAGTAATTTTGGAACAAGGGGGGAAAGGCCACTCCTGCATGGTTTACCATCCTATATACCTTGCTATAAAAAAAACCACAGGAAATATTTTAATTCAGCCCTTAAGGGAAGCCTGCTAATGTTATTGTATAAATATTCACAGTTCAAATGTATGCTTGATTTATTATTTAGTCTTAATTTTGAAAGTAACTTGGATTTTTAATTTGTTTTTAATTATTTTTCTTAGCTGCTTGGAAGAAATAAAAGAGATATATGTGAAATATACATAAACGGATGTGCAACACGACGAGATCCAGTATATGCCAGTGTTTTTCAACCTTGCAACTTTAAGATGTGTGGACTTCAGCTCCTAGAATTCTCCAGCCAGCCAACCAAATACTGGTATATACACATGTAAGTAGTCCCTAACTTATCACCATTCTTTTAACGACCAAATTCTGAGAGCCTTGGAAAAAGTGATTTATGACCTATACTTGCAGTTACACTTGTCGTATCATCCCCACAGTCACGTGATCACAAATTAGGCACTTGGCAACTGGCTTGCATTTACAATGGTTGCAGTGTCCTGTGATCACGTTATCATAATTTGCAATTTTCTTTTCCTACTTTCAGCAAAAAACGCACATTGGGAAAGTTGGAATTCACTTAAAACATCCACATGATTCACTTCACGGTTAACCTAAAAACTGTCCTAAAATCAGGTCCAATTCGACTTACAACCACAACAAGTTATGACAGAAATTCCAGTCTCCATTGTGATTGTAAATCAAGGGTTCCCTGTACACAGAAATCACAAGAAGGAATTTGGGGGGAATTGGCAGTTCTTCAGAAAATACATTTTGTTCAATCACCACCCCCACCCCAAAAATAATATAATTAGAATACTCCTTACCCACTTTGAATAAAGCTTGGTCTCCACTCTTGGAAACATATTAACAGCTTTTACCATGATTGTAAAAATATTCATGAATATGGCTTCATAGTCGTTAAACTCAGGTTCAAATGTAATATTTTCATTCTCAAGAATCAGTCGCATTATAAATCCAGAGTGTTCAAAGGCATAGATAGATTTCTGTTCAGAGAGAATTAGATCCATTAACATGGCTTGTATAGGAGAATACTTTAAAATGACGCAACTCAGTACAAAATACAAGAATGTGAGTGATGGGGTCAGTTGTTTTGGCTATGGGCACACAATGCTGACTAGCCAGCTAGTCCACAAAGTGATGCAGGAGGGAAAATGTCTGCACAAAACATTAGTATAAGCATATCAGGCTCTCAAAGTATCAGAGATTGATTGATTGACTGACTGAAAACATGAATCCTACTTGGGCTTCACCATAAGTCTTTTTCTGAAACATCAACCTCCCAAGTCGAATCTCAGAAGAATACATTCTATCTTTCTAAACAGAAGCTTGCTTTTCCACCTTTTTTTAAAAATACATTATTTTTTACAAGAGACACCTGGAACAACGTGGAAAGGTGGTAAGCTTGTCAGAAAATCTTACTTACCGTAGGTTGCACAATTAAATTCGTGAAGTCCTCCATTGAATTTAAAGCTAGACTTTGCAGTTGTTGGGTCATTAAGGTTGCAGCACAGTTGAAGAAAGCTTCTAATTGGGCACTGCTGGCATTGGTAGGCACTTGCTTTCGTTTATTGCCTTGGTAATAGATATTTTGCACTTCTGGGAACCACCTAATAGGAGGGGGGGTGAGTGTTTTTGCAACTTGCAGAAATGTATCTTTTACCAAAATTTTATATGGTTTAATAACATGTAAAGCAAAGTTTCCCAGACATTTTAAGCCAACTCCCATGCTTTTTCAGCATTTCTTTTGCAGTAATGTTTGTTCAACATAAAAAGGGTTCGCAATCATGATATTAATGCCCGTACGAAAGGACAAAGTCATGATTATACTGCTGCTGCCAGATCTCTTTCCTGTTTTGATCCAGTCCTTATTCCATGGATACTACTGGGAAGTTATAGAAAAATGAGGAATTAATGAGGTGGCTGGATGGAGTCACTGAAGCAGTAGGAATGAGCTTAAATGGACTCCAGAAGATGGTGGAGGACAGGAAGGCCCGGAGGAACATTGTCCTTGGGGTCGCGATGGGTTGGACACAACTTCGCAACTAACAACAACAACAACAGTTAGACCTTTCTTATCAACCATAATTGGGACCACTAACTATCACTTAAGTGCCATGCTCACTAGCAAAATATCACATGACTGTGACAGGCTTACAATCTCACTTCCTCTTTGGTTTTAAAGCAAAGTATCATGCAATCACAACTTACAATTTTATTCTGCCTTCTCTATTAAATCTGTTTCTCCCAAGCCAGCTGCGAAGCACACAAAGAATGACCACGTGGGCATGGGAGGCTACATTAAATGAAGCACTCAGTAAGTGAGGGTTGCCTATACAAACATGGTTGCAGCTCTCAGAGGTTCACATCATGCTAAGGAGAAGGAAGGCAAGGGGTGACTCTCCACAAATCCCTGATCCAAAGTATTGGCATCCCTTTACTACCAACGATGCCGGCAAGCAAGATCTGCTGGGAATTAGTTTCAACAACCTCTGAAGGATTTTACAGGTTATTGCTGGGATCCAGATACTTGGCAGTTCACAATCTGGGAAGAAGTTTAAAATAAAGGCTGCAGTGCCAACTGGAGGTGCTTGAGCAAGTGCAGCCTCCAAAAGTTGCCCTCAAAATATGTTAGTGTGACAGAAGAGGGAAATTAAGTCCTCCACTTCTTCCTCCAAAAGTCAACAACACAGGTACCCTTCAAAAACACAAATGAGCTGGGTTTTTTCTCCTCTTCCTTCACTCCATATCTGGCTTACAACAGCAAAACTGCAGTCACGACAGGTCTCAGAATCCATAAGCCACAACTACCCACATGTGTCCATGTTTCTCATTCATTTTTACTTACAATCACCAGTAAAAATCCAAATCCCCATTCTACGCTTGAAATGAGTTTAAAGGGTTGGTATACAGTGCATTTACATTTCTGGATTTTCTCTACAGCCCAAACCCTGCTGAGTATTTTCAGCTGAAAACAAAAGAACCACATTCAGGAGTGCACTACCAATTTGGAACAATGCAGCTCCAAATGGCTGAGGCATGGAGACAACATCTCCTCTTCTTTTTCCTTCCTTCTGATTGTTGGGATCAAGGTGGTCAAGAGAGAGAAGAGTGATTAATGCTACCAGGTAAAAATGATGTGAGTTGTCCTTTTCCTACTCTAGGCCAAGAACTTTCCCTCTCACCATCTTCTGCGTGGGACTGAGCTATAGCCCTTGCTTGTGAGACTAGATCACATTCTCCATCACTTATCTCACACCCTTTATGGTCACAATATTCAGTTTTATTAACAGGCTTTGCTAATCTCCCCCCCCCCAAAAAATTTTTTTTAACAAGGCTTCCAGCACAGCTTCATATTTGAAACTAAAGCATAGATGCATCTCTCACATAATGAGATGTCCTTTTACTCTTCTCCCCAATACTATGCCTAGCTCAGATCTGTTATGCAGAGCCCCTCCACTTTGGATACCTAAAAATGCCTAAAAATATTAAGAATCCCCTTCACTAAGAAAAGAGTATCTATCCATGGAATGAAACCACTCGACGCGTTCCAAAATTATGGAAGAGAATCTTTTTAAAGCAGGTTAACATTCAAGACGAAGTTAAAATCTCTCCAATATAACATTTCTTAAAATTCTGGGGGAGGGGGGGAATCAGGAGTCGTTATTATCAAATAATTTATTTATTTTTCTGTATGTGATTCATCTACTACTTTCCCCCTCATGGACTCTGGGTGGTTTACATGTATCAAAATAGCAAAAAGAATAAACATATAATTGAAAACCTCAAGACAGAAATGTAACAAGTAATATCAAATAATGTGCTGATGTTAATGGCAGGTGGTGGTTGTCTAGCTGCAGACAGGTCTGACTTAAAATTAGTCTTTCAGCTTTGAATTAGCTGGGCTTAAACTTTCAGTCCAAGGGACATAAATCATTAAAAAGATATTTGAGCTTACTTTTTAAAAAGAGTATCCTTGGCAGTTTCCATTTGTCTTAATATCATGTTCTGGAAGAGTGAGAGCTCCATTGAGTCTTGACGAGTGCGAAATGCTAACTTATCAATTAAGCGCAAATCTCTGTGAGAGTGACAACAAAGAATATCATGCTGAATATATTTTCACAACACTTTTTTTAAAATAAAGTTATTGAAATTTTATATTTAATCTATTTAAATAGATGGCCACAGTCCATAGGCACCGATTTAATTCAGTTAGGGACCCCTGTTTTAGAGTTCAAAGCTGAAGCCTAGCACAGCCCTATTGTTTAATACTCTAAGTACAAACTGATGCTATCACACTTTATGTCGTCTTAGCAAACTGTTTGATTTTACATTTCCAATCCATTTTGGCATTTTCAAATAATTTAGTAAAAAAAAAAAAAACCCAGGCCATCAGTTTGTGAAATAGGAGTTAATTTAAGAATGCAATCTTTGGCTTTGCCAAATCGTAACATGAATATTGATGAAGAAAACATCATCTAGTTTGAATAATATGCTTCAGATGAATCAATTAGTTAAATAACGTTGCAGAAAAGTCTTTATACATCTTTTTCTTTTCTTCACAGCATTTCCTTATAATTGCTTTTATTGTTTGTAACAGGTCTGTATTCAAAGAACTGTTTGGAGAGTGTTAATATCAACGCCTTTAAATTTGCTTATTGACACAGGAAAACACCATCCTTCAACCAACGAAATGAAATTTCACAGATTCTTACTAAAGATCCTGGTGAGGGAAAACAAGAAATGATCAACACCTAGATCTGTCTTTCCTCCTCAATATAGACTCTAACAGTGCCCCTAATGAAAAATAAGAAAATAAACTGAGTAAAGAAAAAACATAAAACCATTCATTTATTTATTTAGCCATGTGGCAACATCTTCACTGGGCCCAGATGTGCTTTGGCCCGGTTCACAAGGCCAAAATGTAACTATGTGATGGAGGATATGAGTACTCGGAATTTGTTCACTATCATACCTTTTTCAGCAGTTATACCTTTCTCTGCAGGCACATGCACACGCACACGCACACACACACACACACACACACACACACACACACACACACACATCCTAAACGTTTTAAGGAAAAGAGGAGTCAAATTCTTCATAAAGAAAAAAGGCAATCGGGACCACAAAATCACAAAATCCCTTTAGGGAAGACTAAGCTACGATTCATCAATATATTACATATAGCGTTTCTTCTCTTTTTTGCTTTTTTACTTTATCTTTCATAAAAATTTATATATATGTGGAATGTGATTCTTTTGCAGTGATATTTATCACAGTGCACTGAATAAAGGAAGCTTAAAGAACAAATCTGACAGTCAGTTTCAGCGTTCTTAAAGAAATTAGCTATTAAAACAGATATTATCTTACTGGATTAGCCTTCATACAAATTTTCTAAAAAAAAAACCAATCTGATAGACTGTCTCATTCTTTTTTATCTCAAAAAACAAGAGGAACAGCTCAGTTAGTTTATCTATTAGACATTCCTATCTGATGTCTTAATAGAACAGAACTAAGCATGGTAAAGTGTTTTTTTCCCTCTTCTTTTCTTTTACCACAATATATACTTATTAATAAAATAATCTGAGCTGCCGGAATAAAAATACCACACTTGGAAATTGGCTCAACTGCTGATTAAAACGAATAATGGTAATGTTTCATGGCCTTTCCTAGTCAGGAGCAGAAACCTGATCAGGCGCAGCTCTGGAAATATTTTAAAGATAATGTTCTCTGACAACAATTAGCTCCTTCAGGGCTCTTGCTGTCAGAATGAAGCACTGCCTCCACAAAACAAGCTAAGCACATTTTGCCTTTACACCAACAGCCCCAAGTGAACATTTTTGGTTATTAATCTTACTGTAGTTCTTCCTGAATTCTTTGTTATGATTATTGTTTGCATACATTCAATATTAAGCCAGTTTTACATCTCATTACTGAACACGATAGAATGAGGACACTCATTTGCTCAATCCCAGCATTTTGCAAGCTGAAGTAATAAATAAACTGTACTTAACAGAATAAACTAATCTTCTGCAATTAGTTGACCTCCAGTCTTGCTAGGCTATAATTCCAGTCAAACCAAGCCAGCATATAGAGGTTGTCATCTAGTAGGTCTAAAGGACATCAGATTGGGAAGTAAGTGAGGAATAAGTGATTTTCAAAAGGAGAACAAGGAGTGAAAGGTAAATATTTGTACAATTACACATTTAAACCTCAACTTTCTATCTGCGGTATTACTAATCTAACATTTTGCTTTATGTCAGTGATCATTGTAACATGCCTGCATTAAAGGAGATGAAGTCCATTAAACTATATTCAATTAAGGAGAATACTATGAATCAAAATATTTTACATACAAGAAGCTATGTTGACACAACATATTTATCCAGGTGATGGACAGATTTAATTTGTAAAGTAAACACCATGACCCAGTCAGTACTAAATGGGTTAATTTTAGCCCTAGGTGTTGCTTGGGGCTAAGTTAAACTGACCCAGTCAGTTATCTCATCCAAACGTAGATGTGAGCATGAACAATGATGCACCCCAATCTGCCTTCCTGCTGCTGATATAGAAATGAAGGCCTAGGGCAGCCCCACAAAAACAGGACTATTCTAGAAATTTCCCCTTGCTGCTTCTTTTATTTTTGTCCCTCCCTCTCTACAGCTACATAGGTCAATATGAAACACAGAAGTCACCTCTGTACATGAGGGCCTTGACCCTAATCAGGCTTTGGGGATTTTTATCCAAAGTAAATTAAAATGGCAGGAAATGGCTGACTCCCAATCCCATTTATGGAAGTGAGGAAGCCCATCAAAGAGGCTATTACTCATTTGACTATGGCATCTATGACTACATCCCATTAGCATTTGCCTGATGGAACATATCATTAATAAGATACAACCTAATGGAACTTGGTGAGTTCAAGTCCCGCCTTAGCCATGAAAGCCAGCTGGGTGACTTTGGGCTGGCCACTCTCTCTTAGCCCATCCACCTCACAGGGTGGTTGTTGTGGGAAAAATAGGAGAAGGAAGGTATGTTGGTTTTGTTTGCCGCTTTGAATTATGTATAAAATAATAAAGGATGGATACAAAAAAAAAGCAATAAATAAAATAATAAATATTCTCCAAAACTATAGTTACCGTAAAGGAAAGTCAATCTTTGAGTGCTGTTATGATTAGAGGAGATACGTTCTCTCTTCCTTTCAGCCATATTACTACATACATACATACAGACATACATACATACATACATACATACATACATACATACATACAAAACAACCCGGGTGCATTTTTATCCAGGAGATTCCAGAGGTCTACTTGTTTTTATTATTTGAATTTTATGAAGTTTTTTTTTACTATGTTGTTGTTGTTGTTAATTGCGAAGTCGTGTCCGACCCATCGCGACCCCATGGACAACGCTCCTCCAGGTCCTCCTGTCCTCTACCATCTTCTGGAGTCCATTTAAGTTCACACCTACTGCTTCAGTGACTCCATCCAGCCATCTCATTCTCTGTCGTCCCCTTCTTCTATTGCTCTCAATCTTTCCCAGCATTAGGCCCTTCTCCAGTGAGTCCTTCCTTCTCATTAGGTGGCCAAAGTATTTGAGTTTCAACTTCAGGATCTGGCCTTCTAAAGACCAGTCGGGGTTGATCTCTTCTAGGACTGACCGGTTTGAACGCCTTGCAGTCCAAGGGACACGCAGGAGTCTTCTCCAGCACCATAGTTCAAAGGCCTCAATTCTTTGGCGCTCAGCCTTTCTTATGGTCCAACTTTCACAGCCATACATTGCAACTGGGAAAACCATGGCCTGGACCACAGGTCGGCAACCTGTGGATCCGGAGCCGCATGTGGCTCCTTGAGCCTTCCCTGTGGCTCCCAGCCTCCTCTGCCTTTGCAGAGAGAGACAGAGACAGAGAGGCAATTGCGCTTCCGTGCTTTTCTCTCTCTCTCTCTCTCTCTCTCTCTCTCTCTCTCTCTCTGTGTGTGTGTGTGTGTGTGTGTGTGTGTAAAAGAGAGTGCACTCACAGTGTTCTCCAAGGAGCTAAAAAACTTACTGGGCAGAGCTCCTCCCTGTGCTGCATCTCTGCAGGAAGCAGGAAGGGCAGGAGAGAGCTAGCTAGTCCAGCTAGACTGACTCAGGAATTCTGGGAGTTGAAGTCCATGAGTCATAAAAGAGACGAGGTTGCCTACCCCTGAGCTTGTTGAACAACAGCTTGAAGCTTGCCAGGTGAGCAGCAGATAGGAGGGGGGGGGAGAAAGAGAGAGAGAGAAAGAGAGAGGGAGGGGGGAGAGAGAGAGAGAGAGAGAGAGAGAGAGAGAGAGAAAGAGAGTGGGGGAAGAGGAGTGGCAGACCAAGGGCAGATAGAGAGGGAGGGAGGGAGAGACCCCTTTTGACATCTAAAATGAAGATAACACTGCATATATCCTTTTTTTACTTGTGTGTGTATGTAATTTTATTCTCTTAAAGCATTCTCTTGGTGATCATTGTTTTAATAGTATGGATATTCCCAAGAGTCATATTTTTACTTTTATTTTTAATGTGTGTGTGTGTGTATTTATGTGTGTGTGTGTGTGTGTGTGTACACACACACACACACATACGTACACAAATACACACACACACACCTATAATAAAGGTAAAAAAGGATATATGCAGTGTTATCTTCATTTTAGATATCAAAAGGGTTTTGCGGCTCCCGGTGTTTTGTTTTTGGTGGGAAACGGGTCCAGGTGGCTCTTTGAGTGTTTTGGGTTGCCTACCCCTGGCCTGGACTATATGCACTTTTGTTGGCAGGGTGATGTCTCTGCTTTTTAGTATGCTGTCTACATTTGCCATAACTTTCCTCCCCAGGAGCAAGCGTCTTTTAATTTCATGGCTGCAGTCCCCATTTGAGGTGATCTTGGAGCCCAGAAAAATAAAATCTGTCACTACCTCCATTTCTTCTCCATCTATTTGCCAGGAATTGAGAGGGCCGGATGCCATGATTTTGGTTTTCTTAATGTTGAGTTTCAAGCCAACTTTTGCACTCTCCTTCTTACCCGCATCAAGAGGCTCTTTAGTTCCTCTTCACTTTCTGCCATTAGATGGTATCATCTGCATATCTTAGGTTGTTGATATTTCTCCCAGCAATCTTAATTCCAACTTTTGTTTCATCCAGCCCTGCCTTTCTCATGATGTGCTCTGCATATAAGTTAAATAGGCAGGGCGACAGTATACAGCCTTGCCGGACTCCTTTTCCAATTTTGAACCAATCAGTGGTTCCGTGTCCAGTTCTCACTGTTGCTTCTTGACCCGCATATAGGTTTCTCAAGAGACAAATAAGATGGTCTGGTATTCCCATCTCTTTAAGAACTTGCCACAATTTGTTGTGATCCACACAATCAAAGGCTTTAGCATAGTCAATGAAGCAGAAGTAGATGTTTTTCTGGAACTCCCTAGCTTTCTCCATGATCCAGCGTATGTTGGCAATTTGATCTCTAGTTCCTCTGCCTCTTCGAAATCCTGCCTGTACTTCTGGTAGTTCTCGATCCACATACTGCTGGAGCCTAGCTTGTAGGATTTTAAGCATAACTTTACTAGCATGTGAAATGAGTGCAATGGTGCGATAGTTTGAACATTCTTTGGCATTGCCTTTCTTTGGAATTGGAATGTAAACTGACCTTTTCCAATCCTGTGGCCACTGTTGAGTTTTCCAAATTTGCTGGCAAATTGAGTGTAGCACTTTTACTGCATCGTCTTTTAAGATTTTGAATAGCTCAGCTGGAATACTGTCACCTCCACTAGCTTTGTTGTTGCTCAGATTTTCTAAGGCCCATTTCACTTCACATTCTAGGATGTCTGGTTCGAGGTCAGTGACCATCTCATTGTGGTTATCTGGGACGTTAAGCTCATTCTTGTATAGTTCTTCTGTGTAGTTTTGCCATCTCTTCTTAATCTCTTCTGCCTCTGTTAGGTCCCTGCCATTTTGGTCCTTTATCATGCCCATCTTTG